ATTCTTTGTCATTATACTTGATGTCTTATTAAGTTAAAAACCTGATCCACTAAAAAGACAGAGTATCAGCAGTAGCATATCACCAAAATTAGCTACATACAACTATATATTATAGTAGTAACATATCTGTCATGTACAAATTGTAATGAAATGTCAAAGTATGTAAGAGAGAAGGTCTCAAGAACATTTAAAAATGATTACTTTCAGTTTCATATCACCCTCTTAAAATTAACTGTGACCATGTGAATAGAATTACTGGGAATGATGCAACTGGTAATACATAATCTGCACATTTCTGTATGCAGCTTTCAAAATATACAGGGTTGAAGAACAGGATATGCTTGTGAAACAGAATTACTGGTACTTTATTATTAATAATAATCATCTTCTCTTCAATTCCTTAAGATGTAGACATGATATGTAACATTTTACTGTTAATAATGAATTTTTAGAAAACAGTAGTTTCTCATCTTGACTATATTTTCAGAAAAGCATACTTCTTCAGACCATTTAATGGCATTATAGCAAATAGTAAGGAATTTCAGCATATAAGTTTTTAATTTAAGAATACCAGAATAATTGGGAATTTACTGATCAAAAAGGAATATTTCTTCCTATCAAGCAAAATAAAATGTAATACAGTGAAACCCCATTTTAAGGGTTGCTTGAGGAGCAGTGGATTTGAACACCAAATTGAGGGAAATCTTAATAGAGAAAATTTATCGCTGAGATTTTAGTGATGTATGATCATTGAAACCGAATAATAATGAGGGAAAAACTTATATCAGAGAATAAATGGGGTTTTCACTGCACTGATATATTAATTTAAATAATTTTCATGGAATACATTAATTGAAACATGCATATTTATTTATGATTTATAATTCCTTTGACATGCTCTGAAGGAGGTGAAATGTTTGTATTTTCTACATTGATATTGGCTTTTTTAAATTGACACTGCCATTTTTCTTGGACTGTACTCACTGAAAGCACTACTTTGTAATAAATATTTTGCCCACTGCACTGAAAGGGGATGCAGAATACAGTGAACAGAAATTATGTCGTGGGTAAGCAAATAAATTAATTCTCTGGCAAATATATTGATATATAAATTTAATTTTCCAAAATTTATAATAAAAATTCATATTTCCGTTAGAAAACTTAACTTTAAAATTTTGATTGGAGGCACCCACATACTTGTTGAGATATTTGACAGGCAGCATATCAGTTCAGATATTTTTCTATATTTGAAACACATTTTTAATATTGTATGGTGCCTATATATTATTTTTAAGCCTATTACAGTCAGATTCCAACTTACTGCCTCTGGTGTAAATCAGTAGTATTGCACCTGTCAGTATATGGGCTAAAAAGTTAGTCAGTTTTTTGAAAGATTTTTGTTTTGTGATCATTCCTGTGGATTTGAGAAGGGAGAATGCTTAAGGTGCTACTTTCGTACTATTTACAATATCAGCATGATTCTACATGTCTTACCATTTGTGTACAGCATAACTCTTTAACATGGGTAACTGGTATTTTTAGGGCTTGTTTTGTGACAGTATTCCTCATCATAGCCCTCATTATGATGATATGAGATGATGACATGATACGTGTTTATGTTTGTTCAAATACAATATATATGAGGTTATGTTTATTATTTTGAAAGTATTATACATTTTTTGTGTGTGCTATAATTTATGGCTTTAAGAACTTTTATTTCCAAGACTTGAGAAACTTACTATACTTTTTCCAATGTGTGCAGCTCTTTATGCAGGAGAGCACCATAGTGACAGTATGGCCACAAAACATAATAAAAAATATAGCTACTTGTTTTTATTTATAAGTACTGGCGCAGAAGAACCAATTCCTGATTATGTGGGTTCACCATAAATGAAACTTCACTCTGCAAAACATGAAAAGCCTTTCATACATTATTCAGTTACTTCCGTGAACTGCCTGCATAATTTTGGTTTCTTAATTTGGTCCATGCTCTTTTTTAATTTCACAGTTTGTTTTGTATGTATTTGGAAAGATATGGGTGAAACCGGTTATGATCTAGTTGAAGATATTATCCCCGTATATGCCTGAAGAAGATGCAGAAAATCATGAAAAACTTCAGTCAGGGTCTCCATTCTCCAGGCTGAGCTTTGAATCCAGGGCCAATCAAATATAGAAGTGATAACCACCAAGCTATGACTTTTGATCCCCCTATGTCAAAAGTGTAATTTAGAATTAAAAAGAAAAAGAATGTAACATAAGAATATCACAGTTTCAAGTCTAATGTCCACCTTTTTACTTCATATTTTTAATAAAACCAAGGGAGTTCAGTTATATAGATTATTGTTCCTGCAGATTCTTGGTGCTATACAAAAAAAATCATACTTCTGTGCTAATTCTCTATTATACATTATAGTGTCACGTGTTAATGACTAGACATGGTGTTGCTGCCAAGGGCCAGCAGCAATTCAGACCTGCCCTCCCATCAAAGGGCGTTCCCCACATCAACAAACCCACACCTATCTGACAGTAACAAAAATCTGGTCTTGGATGCCAGATGATGCTGCACGCTGTGACAGACTGTCCAACTGACCATCAGTCATAATGTAACTTTGACTCTGACTTTGACCTATACCCCATTTTAAAGCACTAGATAGATCACACATCAGTGCTAAAAGTAACACCAAAATGTTACATACAAGTGCAGAGACTTGAAATGAGTGCTTGTGCAACCAGTGGTAAGAAGTGAACATTATATCGTGACAGAATAGGAGGGGGGGGGGACTTTGTGCAGTGAAATGAAACTTGTATATTTATTTTCCAAAAACAGATGGAAGAGGGACATTATATTATCAAAAAGTTTATTCAGTGTGATGTACATATTTGGCTTGGCTTCATATTATATTATGTGGTAATGTAGTTTGTTGAGGCACTATGCTACAGGCTGGAAGGTCGCTCGTTCAAGTCCCGATGAGGTGGATTTTTTCAATTGACCTAATCCTGGGTCAACTCAGCCTCTAACCGAAATAAGTACCAGGAATCTTCCTGGGGGGTAAAGGGGCGGATGGCGCATAGAGCTGACAACCTTACCGCCATCTGTGAGCCAGTTGTCTAGAATATGTGGGAGCCTCAGCCTCTCACAACCCTATGGACCTCCACAGCCTGTTACAGGGATGACTTTACCTTATCATATTATATTGTTTTCTGTTCTCTATGGTTTACTTTCATTATTTAACTTGGAACTTCTGTAAACCACATGTTATTAAAGATACATCTATATAAATATTGTCATGTGTATTTGTGACTATAGACAGGGTTTGGATTGAATGATAACACCTTATTCTATCGGCTCGTACTTACAAGCAATACAGCACTATCACTTATTGACACAATTTACATTTCACCGTTATACACACATTACGATTCTCAGTCTTCACTAGTTGTATGCTGGTAACGGAATTAAAACAGTCTCATTGTGACTAAATCTTCACAGGCTGACTTCTAATTCTTCTTCAGATACTAACTTCCAGTGGTTATCTCCTACCAATAACTGACTCAGTTGTCATTCTGTTGTGTTCCGTTGTATTCTCATTCTCTTGATTCTCATTCTTCCACAACAATTCTCTTACAACTTCTGAACTCCCAATTCTCCAATTCCCTAGCTACACCATGGAAAACACCATCTTCTCTTGCCAAGTATTGTTGTGCTACCTAGCAACGAGTTGTAGCACGTCCCCAGAGAACACAGCTTCTATTGTTGTGTATTCACTGAAACGTGTATACTGAGTTGTTACCTAGAAATAGGTATATATATCACAATATCATTGTTTGTTAGCTAACGCTTTCCTCAGTGTAGAAGAAAACTATAAAGTAATGAAGTTACTGAAATATTATAATCATTATCCTTCAAATAATCAGGAATTGTGGGTACTAGTTTGCCTGTTACGGGTGTTGCAGAATATAATCTTTCCAAACTTTCATTGGTATTCGTAAACATCTTCTTTCTTTCTTTCTTTCTGTTGATATTTCATTCTTTTTTATGGTCCTGAAGAAATAGTGCATCAGAATGTAAGAAACTTAATGCCTCTGTATAATGTTATCACTCTTGATCCATGTTCAGGGGGTTCTGTGACTGTGTTTTAGTTTAATTTGCTCTCCTAACTGAGAATTTTCATGGTTTTCTTGAGTCCTGTCTGAAAGAATCTAGGGTGAATAGACTACCACTACATACTTCTGTGTTCTTTTCAGTTAATCATTCACAATAACCATGCTATTTTATACTACATAACTGATGCATTTAATAAGACATCATTAAAATAACAACAAACAACTAGTGTACAATTTCAAATGTAGATATGTTCAAGGTTTTGTATCTAAAACAGTTTTTCTGTTTCCCCAATACATGCTTAGTGACGATCACACACTAATTTGCAATTTCTTCAGAGCCGTTTTTGTTACCTGTTTATTAAACACAGCAAAATTGTACATTTCCGAAATAAGGTTAGGAAGAAAAACATAAACTTTCCAGAAGAGGGAATCGTACAGACACACTGATACATACAGAAAAGAAAAGATGTCATTCACATTGTGAACTTTCTCGGTGAGGAGCAGAGTATATGAGTTTCTTTATTAATAATATTAACAGAAATACTTCATCCAATTCAGCAAATTAATCAGGAAAGTGAAATACATTTGCAAACGTGTAAAATGCAAACAAATAATTAGGATCATTTTCTCCTTTGTGGAATGTAGTAAAAGTGTTTTGTGTGTTTGATAAAGATTAATACATGTATTAACCACAAAACTGTTTTGTCTATGTATGTTTTATAATTCTAATACTGTGCCCCTGAGGCAACCTAAACAGCGCTTTCTTTTGGCTGTCACACATTAAGCATTAACTATTACCCTATGAACAAGGAATATAACAAAATAGTTTAGACTTTGTGTGAGTGTCCTGTGTTCTAACAAAAATGTTCCTGTGTAATATCCATGCTCTGTAACAGCAAGCAAACAAACCGTCATCTAACCGTTCATGTTGGAAAAGAGTACTGTCTGCAGCACGCAAAAGAGCAGCTATTGCCTGTCTTCGTAGTGAACCGCTCTACATGCTTAGGAGGTAAGCCTTGCTGCTTGCTTCTTGTATGATGTAATACTTAATTATTATAAGTTGAGGAGTGATATTTTAAAAAAAGTTGAAAATGAACAGTTGTGTATGCTGTATAGAAGGGCTCCATTAATATATTTGCAGAGTTTGGTAATAAGTATAGAAATAGTTGTATAAAGCACACTCTGAGTCTATGAGAGAGTGCATTTTGATTATTGACTGATGGATTCAAGCTGTATTTTTTTAGTTCTGTGAAATACATAACCACAGTGTTTAATGATTGCATGCAGGTATGTATTCAATGTACCTGTTTGCTTCCAGCCATTTCAAAGCTTTCACTCGTACATCATAATGCAGACACTCAAATTAACTTACAATTTCCCACAAATGTAGTCTGATAGTTGCTATAGATTGGTTAATTATATTTCTTAGACCCTGAATTTGATGCTGAATCTGTTTCATACCACTGTACAGAAACCGTACAGTTATTGTATACTATGGTAACAAATTTTAAGGATATGAGAACTAAGATAGAGATCATAATATCTTTATTTGAATTTTCATGGTTCACGCAATTGTTATTTAACCTGCATTTAAGTGGTTTAAAATTTAAAATGTACATGTATCGTTCAATATATGGCTTTAGAGGAATGTGACATGGGCAAAGGACAGTCAGTAAGTAAAGACAGTTTTAGTTTGCCTTAAACATGATACTGGCAGCACTGAGAAAGATGATGAATATAAAAATATTAACCTTTCTTTCCACCTAGTTGACTTTCATTATGTTTTGAACAGTGATAGTATTGTGATGTTCAACATAAATACTGAATGCTAGGCTACACCAAAGGTGAAAAATTATCTGTGATCCAGTTTTCATGATTGGAGGTATGAAAACTAGTGAAATTCATAAAAGAACTACAATTTCATCTGAAATAAGCCACATTCTCGGGAAGAAGTGGTGCAAGAATGACTTGATGCCCTACAAAAACATTATATTATCATAGAATCAGGTAACTTGTGACTGTTTGAACCAATTACATTGTAATCAATGTTATTATACAAAAATATAAGATATATATTGTATGATTATTTTGCCAAGCTTTATAATAAAATTGACTTGATCACCTTCCTGTGTACTATATTATGTACATAAACTAAACTGATATCCACTGAGAATTGAGAAGTTCTTAAAATACATGAAATGATTGTATAAAATAAAGTAATATGAAACATGAAACATGTTTCTCTACTATTTTGCTCTTTTCAGTTATAAAACTGATTTGAATAAGTCACATAATGGATGTTAATTAACATACTGCCATTAGTGTTTGTTCCACTCAGTCAGCACTTCATGGTTAACTCTCCTATAAAGGATCAGATCTATAAACATCACTGGAGAAGTCAGCCTGCTCACACTACTTACCATCAAACTTTGCTTGTGTACAGACTATACCATATGTCCAAAAAGTATCTGACTTTATTTTTTTCCACTGTAAGTAATGGCCAAAGGGGTGGGGAAACTGAGCGTAGTGGTAGAAGGGACTGTCATGTGCACGCGTGATATTTTGCTGACTCGCAACACTGCCGGATGCGTCTGTGGCTGCCATATAGCGAAGTGGTGTAACACGTGTTCATCGCATTCTCATTTCGCTCAAGATGACAGAACACTTGGAGCAGTGATACTGCATTAAGTTTTGTCAAAAACTTGGGGATACCCAGGCAGAAACAATTCGCAAAATTCAGCAGGCTTTCGCCAATGATGCAATGGGGGTCACTCAAATTAAAGAGTGGTTCAGCCGCTTTAAACGTTGCTGTATGTCAGTGGACAGTGAGCAGCGTTCCAGGAGACCGTCAGTGAGCCGAAATGCTGATGTCATTGAAAAAGTGCGGACACTGATCATGGAGGACCATCGTTTGGCCATCCATGAAGTTGCTGATGAGGTTGGGATCAGCAGAGGTTCCACAAACACAATTCTAACTGATGATTTGGGGATGCGAAGAGTGGTGGCAAAATTTGTGCCCAAGCTGCTTTCACCGGAGCAGCAACAACTCCGCCTTGAGGTCACACAGGACATGCTGGAGTGCGCCAACAGTGATCCTGAGTTCCTGAAGACTGTGATCACTGGTGATGAGTCATGGGGGTACGGATATGACCCGGAAACCAAGGTCCAGGCGTCACAATGGAAGCATCCAAGATCCCCGAGGTCCAAAAGAGCATGACAGGTTCAGAGCAATGTGAAGGTGATCCTGACTTTTTTTTTTTCGATTACCGGGGTGTTGTGCATCATGAGTATGCACCACTAGGCTAGACTGTCAATGAGGAGTACTACCAAGAAGTCCTCCGCCATCTTCGTGATGCAGTTCGGCGCAAGAGACCGGAGCTGTGGGATGCACGCAACTGGCAGCTGCATCATGACAACGCCCCAACTCATTCATCACACCTGATCCAGGGTTTCCTGGCCAAGCACGGCATTCTGCAGGTTTGCCCGGCTCCCTACTCTTCTGACATGGCTTCTTGTGATTTCTGGCTGTTCCTGAGATTGAAGACACCGCTAAAAGCCTGCCATTTTGACAGCCGCGAGGACATCATACAATCATACAAAACGTGACGGCACAGCTGCACGCCATTCCAAAAGAAGCCTTTCAGAATTGCTTCCAGCTATAGAAGGACCGCTGGGCTAAGTGTGTGGAGTCACAAGGGTCCTACTTTGAAGGGGATTAGGTATTGTAACCACCCAGATACGGAACTTTTTTTCCCAACCCAAGGTCGGATACTTTTTGGACAGAGTAGTATACCATATATTTTACGTTTGTAAGCAGATAATAACCAATAATTTTGAACAGTAATACAGTTAGTCAGAAACTTTTTAAAACTTGTCTTATCTGTTTGTTCTCAGGCATCGGGCAATCAACATTTTTATTCGAACATACCATGAACTGTGGTTACAAGATGAAAATGTGGGCCAGGAAGTCATGATTGAAGATCTCACAGTAAGTGTCATAAATAAACTTCCTTGCAAGTGAATCATTTCTTACATCTGGTTACTATTATTTCATATATATGCATTTCACAAGTCAGTTTAAGCTGTGTTTCTGTTTTAACTTAATAAATAATCAGCTCATAATTCTCTAGGTCTAATTAGGCCAGACCATAAGTCAGCATGGTTACCTTACAGGCATAAACATTTATGAAAATATGTACTGGTACTTATAACATGACCTACAATGAAAAGGACTGTCAATAATGTTAGCAGTAAAGTTAATATTAAAGTTACAAATAAATATCATTAATGTGAGTACACTGGAACAATACAGCAGCTTCTTATAGACTTCAAGAAACTCTTTGATTCACTTAGGAGATAAGTACTTCACATATTATCATTAGCTTTGGTACTGATGAAAGCACATTTAAACGAAACCAATAGTAAAATTCATATATGTAAGTATTTTTCTGATGTGTTTTCTATTTTTAACGATCTTTAACAAGGGGGTCCTCTTTCATTACTGCTTTTCAGCTTTGTTTTAATGTACATTAATAAGAGTTCCCCCCAAAACCAGGAATTATCAAAACTGAATGGGGGACATAATTTTTTATGGTGTTAAAATGAAATACTAATCTGGAAAACACAAAAGTTCTATCAGATGTTAGTAAGGAGCCAGAAGTAAATACAGAGAATACCCAGTAAGTTCCCCTATATCAGGCATGTCTGGTTAGTGGGGGGGTTACCTGAATTGCCAGTTGCATGAGAAGTGCATAGAGATACCCAATCTTCACACCATTTTTGCTACTTTCTTGTCTTTACCTGTTTATGTTTCAAAGTCACAACAGTGTGTTTTCACTTTAGTTCTTCCGTGGGGATTTTCCTTCATGACTGTGGATTGATCAGTTAAAGAATTTGGATATGCTGTAATGTGATCACAAATTCAACTAGCCCCAATTGTAATCATGGACCACTATGATTGTAATGACACTTGCATAAGGGAGGATGACAGGCAGTACTGCTAGTGGTGACTGGGAGAATAACTACATGGTGGGTGAACATGTGAATATGGCAACTTTGTTTCTGAAGTATCTCTACAAGAATTGTAAATTTTCTTTGCAATTTTTTACAGTTGCATAAGAATTCTGGATGCCTGCATACTGAATAACTATGTTCGTGTCTAATAATTATAATGTAGGGCATAATCATAATATAAAAATAACTAATCCTTGAAAAAGCAGCACAGTTCAGTATTCGTGAACAAATCAGAATTGCAGTCAAAGAAATTAAGAGCAGGTCAATAATGCTTGCTACCATTCTGTTCAAAAGCTTTTGTCCTCCTGCCTGCTGTCTAAAAATGTAAAAATCAAAGTTTAGAAAACTGTAATTTTGCCTGTATGAGTGTGGATAAAATTGCATTATGCAAAGCTTCATAATTTGTATTTTTCACCCAGTGTTATTAGGATGGTCGCGTTAAAGAGGGTGAAATGTGTGAGGCATGTAACATACATAAAAAAGATAAGTAATGCATATAATATTTTAGTATAAAATCTAAAAGAAAGGTATGAAAATGGACCTTAAATAAATAAGGCAAAAGAGTGTGGGCTGTATTCATCTGGTGCAGGATAGGGACCAATGTAATGCTTTTGTGAACTTGGAAATTAACCTTTCAGTCCTATAAAATGGTAGAAATTTCTCAGCTAGCTGAATAACTATTAGCTCTTCAAGAAGGACTCTGCTCCATGGATTTAGTTATGCCATAAATCCATATTCTGTAATGTATGTAATACAAATCTTGGAACTTCTGTTGACATTTATAACTCATAAATACCTGCTAGCAGGCTGTCAACAAATGGTTCAAAAGGGTGTATTTCACAGTCATCATGAAACACATTTCTGCTGATGTCAATCCCGTCTTAAATGTCTATCATCCATTGATTCTTTTCTATAACGCCTTTAAAATTTGTATTTTTTTCTCCCTAGAAGCTAATGTTGGTTAGAGGAAGTGATTTATAATTTCTAGCAAGTTCAAAACATGTAGCCAAGAAATAACTTATACTGTATGTAACTAGAAAAAGGCTTATATGCAACACTAATTTTTTTGTGGTTATAGTAAATATAGTAAGTCTATGAAGTGGCAAAAAATCCATAATCTTTATCTTCAGAATGAGGTCATGAGTGTCTCAGAGCAATTAACAATGTATATTACACTTTCTAATGGTATATATTTTCTGTAAGATACTTGTAATATTGATGCAGTAAATATTAATTATTTCATGTATTAGCAATCATTTGAAGATGCAGAGTTGAAGAAATGTGACGAGGTAAAGGAAGAAGGAAAACCAGATCCCCTGAACCAACTTGTTACCACATTCTGCCGAGGGGCAATGACAGAGCGCAGTGGAGCTTTGCAAGAGGACCCACTGTACATGTCATATGCTAAAATCTCTGCAAAGTAAGCATAAATGGCATTGGTCAATTCCAATTACATTCTGAAATCTTCACCTGATAACAAAGTTAGAAAATGTAAATACACATTTATGCTCGTTTAGTCAACATTTATTTGAATGTAAATATAACTGCATATTCATTAGAGCATTAACTGACATCAGCTACTCACAAAAGAAGTTTTCAGTTCATGTGAAATATGTGTTATCTTCTTTGTTCAGTAATCTGTGGAGCCTTAATGTGGAGTTCTTTCATTTCTCATGTAGTCAGTTTCTGTGTAGAGGTACTTCTACTCATTATAAAAATTTTAGTGAAATGAATAACTGCAGAAAGGAAAAAACTCTGATAAAAATTAAATTTGCAGTAACTTAACTCATTAGACCATACTTAAATGACTTTTCTCATGCTTGACATAGTAAATTAGAGTGTTTAAGGGGCACTGAAATTAACTGATCTGATAGGGTCAAGATATCATTGACCCTTTGCTTGCAGTGAACTGCTTAGATTGTCTTGCATTAAAATCTCCACAGCCAAAGAGATTGGCTTCTTGTTATTCATTCATTCATTTATTTCAAATTCAGTAAATCCAAAACATAGGTTGAAATACAACCCTGGATATAGAACATGTCAATAATAATATTAAAATAAGTTCCAAACATTGAAACAGTCAAGATAAACAATAAAAACGATATAAAATAGTACACAGTGTAGATAACAATTTCATTAAATACAAACAAATTAAAACAAAGAATTTAAATTATCAATAACATGAATCTTCTATATACAATTCCACCCAAAATATATTAAGTACAAAAAATTATTATGCGCTTTAGTTTCAAGATAAATATAAACAATAAATATAACACCTCACATACCAGTTAAATATCATATATACCTGTCACAGTCATACAACAGTCTGAAATCATTTACCTAATTTAATGTAATCGTGTGTTAAAAAATAAATTATTAATAAAATATTATAAAAATATTCATCGGGAAGTAGTTTGGTAAAATTCATCAATGCTATAAAATGCATGTTCAGTGAGATATCTTCTCAATAAAAATTTGA